AACAAATAGGCTAAAGGAACGGGTAAACATTTTTTAATGGCAAAATTATATTTTATTTTATCATTTTTACCGTATGGCAGGTTATGACAACTTGTAAAACGTTTTCGTGACTCGAGCAGTCTATTATGAAATATTTAAAACACGCCACGTCGATTTTCGCGTCATCAGAGCACTTTTTTTTTTCGAGAGTCATTCAATGCTATAAGAGGAGAACACAACCCTGACCTGAGCGCGAACCCTATCCCTTTCGCTTGTTATTCATGACTGTCGAAAAGCTTAAAATATTGTCCACTTAGAGGCATCTCAAGCAATAGGACGTCAACCGTGCTCGTGCAGGCTCTCCTTTCGTTTCCGGTCGCGCGCCCCTCTCTTTACCGCGCACTTTCTATCTGCTGCACGTGCGGGTAAAGACGAGAAGGAAAATAGGTTCAATACTAGGGTTCAAAGAGCACTCCGCCCGGGGCCATGGCGGCTCGGGAGGCAGGGATTGGGAAATAAATGGCATTTAGGTGAGGCAGATTTTGCATAAAGTGACATTTAGGTGGTAATACTTTCTGAACGAGGTGAAGAATCCCGCAACGAACCATGCAGACACTGACAAGTGTTTTGATGTTTTAGTGATGCACTTTGTCAGAATAGCTGTCAAACGCTTGGGCCAAGAAGCTACGAGGCTAAACCATATTTAAAGTCAGCTAGATTTTTGTTGGATATGCCTCTGGGTTTCACAGTCATCACTGCAGGTAATTTGTAACATCTGGAGTTGTACCAAAGCTCACAAATATGACAGAAGGATCATTTTTACTGTAAGGAATACAGGCTACCGTCGCTAATCTCTAAATTATAATAGGTACCAAGGTACTCGGTTTAACTTGAGCTTTTCTTGGTTATGTGCCAAAAGGTTTGGGTTGACATTTGTCTAAGTGATTTCAGGTATTTATTTTAAAGTCACGTGTACATTTTGTTTTTGTTTTTTGTTGGGTTTTTTTGGGGGTTTTTTTTGGTTTTGTTTGTTTGTTCCGGTCAACGATAACAGCGGGGCGTTTCATCTGTTACACCGTCTAATTGGTGGAAATGTGCCCATTAAGATCAGTGAGCGGGAGAAGCAGTAAATGTTTGAGCCATGATGATGAAAGGAGTGGCAGTGTGGACTCTTTTAAGCCGTTTAAAAGCCTGAGATTCCTGTTTGCTTGTTCAGAGAGTTTAATTAAGGGGTTTTAAAATTTTAGGTTACAAAAAACAAAACAAAAAGAAAAACAAGCAGACTGATTTGAAAAACCCAACACATGGTGAACTTGGACAGTGTATGAATACAATGAAAATCCCTACTGAGAGTTTTTATTTCACAACTTTGAGTCCAACAATACTAAAACTTTTCTAATGACGCTCTGTACTACCAAGACGACAATTTGGCACTCCACACAGGCCAGCTGTTCTGATTATAATGCCCCCTATAACTGAAGCCATCGTACTTTTATAG